GCATCATCCAAGATTCCCTAACCTCATCCTCAGTTAGCATTTTCCATGAACGAGAGTAGGGGAGCCGCATAGGCGGAGAATTCCATCATCGAAATCTCTGGAGAAGTCTTCCCACTACCACAGCTGACCGCGCTGAAACCCTAATACCTCCTATGCTAGCCGTGTATCGACCCCCCTAGAATGGACATCCATCCCTCATGATTTCCCCATGGAAAGCTCGATAATTCAGGGGCTCATTAACTTTTTTTCAGGTGTTTCCTCCGTCTAAGAACATAGATCTGTCCATGAATGAATCACAGCTGTTCACATGTGAGGGAAACACAAATGAACGGAGCTTTGCAGCACATCCCATTACCGTGAAGATATCACCTTTCCCTCGTGAACCAGGTTCCTGACATATGCCACTCAATTCCACACTCGAGATCTATGAGCCACTCCTCATCCTTTTCTTAGTAAAAGCTACCATAAGATTTGATTACCAGTAATCATGGAGTCTATTTTTAAAAAAAACCATCAGCTCCCATCATGGATAACTTAACATTACTATGACAACCGTGATGCGATTTGATTCGACATTTGCTGTGCAACCATGCAAAAGTAGAAGTTTCTTGGCTCGTACTAGCTATGTAGACGGCTTGTCTTGCTTACTACACTGATTTTCAGGGAGTTCCATCAACTCGTTCCTTCATAACTGATGAGGATAGAGCAGTAGTGAAGAGCAGCCTCACCACACGTATGATCCATGACCCGAATGGGATTCATCACCCTCTTCCCCCCTTCTTCTATCTCCCCGTCTCACACCACCTGAACGTCCTACTCCCCGTCAGCATCAATGGGATCATGGCAGCCTCCCGAGAGTAAAGGAGAAGTTTTTGATAATGGATACCGGATGCTCCTGCACTACGGAGGCCAAGTTGTCTTTGAATCAATCAGTTACTTACGGGAATTCAATGCTTGGCGCTTCTTCTTGAGTGAGCAACGTTGAGCGGTTTATTTTGGCCCTTGTTTGACCACAACAAATCACTCTAACACTTAAGAGAGGAGGCTTACGAAAAATGTCCTCTCGAGGATCGGGTCGCATCATTTCCGTGCGAACCCACGGGTGACATAGTACAGATTTAAAACATGCACTTCTAGCCACAACGCCAGGCATCGACATATGTTATCATTCTTAGTTTTACAGAATGATTGATTTCAGAGTGCATGGGGCAACGAATCAAAAATTGAACCATACAGAAACAGGAATTCGATTGAAAAACGATGAAAACTCTATAAACCACACAGCATTCTCAAAATACTGGTAATCTAAATATGACGGCAAAACTAGAAGGTCAGTTGTGCTGTAGACCAAATACCAACCTCCAGTGCTCTTCCACCTACTGCCATCACTCTCAGCAGCTTCTTAACTGATATATTCCAACAATTCCAGATTACTCTGCACCAAATATCAGGTAAGCTGAAAGCTTTCGAGGGCACCAAATAACCAAACTTTGAAAGAGAAGCTATTTGCTATTTTCAGAGCAGGTAAAAGAAATCATCGGCGGACAACAGTAAAAATTACTATAAAAATCATTCTGAGCAGCTGTAAGAAGCTTCAAAGGAACCTCCTCGAATCCAGCGCCTAACTGGGAAGTTGAACTGGTTCTAGACCTCGCGTATATATTAGATATTTGACAATTTATTTGATCTCATCCTCATATTTGATAACTTCGGGCCTTAAGGCCCATAACATTCCATTCCATATTCCTTCGCGTGCGACGTCCCTCTCGCCGCGACGCGACAATCTCGTTCCTACTGCACCACATCACAATCAAGGCTCTTCGGAGTTTCGATAGAGTTCTCGCCAGCCTGGTGCGATTCGGTAACTCTAGAAAAGACCCGACTAACGACGATACTCTGAAGGTTTCTAGTCCCCACTGAAGTACTCTTTAGGTTTTAGTACCCCTTTTAGTATCCCCTGATAGGGATTTATTACTGAATCCAGTCAATTTCTAACGAAATAAGTTGCCTTCCCCGCAACTCAAAAATCTACCCATTAGATAGAGTGTAATATGGACACAATATACTAAGAGGGAAATGAGCGATTATGCCGAGCCTATACTTCCCCGAAATTGTCGGCAATTTTAGAAGGACAAAACGGAAACGATTACATGAAAAACCTCAATTCTCTGCAGGAATTCCTGCAAAAATGTCATAGTCATGCAGAAATGTCCATTCAACCATTCGAAAAATCACGTTTGCCTATAAATGGCTTCGTCGATGAATATAACGTCTGCACCCATCTATAGTCGTACTAGCAACGTCGTTGACAAATTAAGGGCTCGAAAAATTGAAGGCTATACGAATGTGAACGTGAACGTGCACTTGATTTGATGAATAGGGTATTGGATGAATGGCAGGAATGGAACCACTCTCACTGGAGAATTTAAAACCAGAAAGAGAACCAGAAATTAAGAAAGATGAAAAAAATTGGAAAACGGAGAAAGAGCATAAAAGGTTGTGGGAAAATAACAGAAGAAAGGTAATGACAATTCAGAAACTTACGTCATGAAGTCTTCAATAGGCATAGCCAGTAAAGGAACGCTTTATAAGTAGAAAAATCCAGAAAAAAAAGTCTCACAAGGTTGGCTATTTGTGGACAAAACTCCTGTCTCNGACGGGACTCGAACCCGTACTTGTCCTTTCCGTGGACCGTGCTCTCATCCCTTACACTACTAGTACTGTTCTATCGTACTGCGGCGATAAAATAGCAGTTAAAAAGACATTAAGTCAGAAAAAAGTGTTTTCTTTACCTTCTGACACTATCATTTGGCTGAAAAGACCACCATGCGCTTCCGCTCTTACCACACAACTGCCACACACATTCTTCACTACAAATCCCTTCAAAACCCCTCCAAACTACCATTTTCCGATGATAAACTCAGAAACACATTTGCCAAAAGCACCTTAGCCACATACAAAGTCGATTAGAGCTCAGAAAAATAACTTTAGTTCAAGAATTGGGATCTTTCGACCTTTTCGATACTTGTAACAATCAAAGCAGCTTCCTGTCTCCCTAGCAAAAACATTCTTAAAGCAGATTTTCCCTTTACACTCTCCATCCTAGGCCGTAATCATAGAGACTTGCAAAGTTTGCAGGCATAACACCTGCAAAACAAAGCCTATTTGCCAGAGCAATGATCAAATATGACGAATTGCCTTTTCCTAAAACGGCTGGCTGTTTGCTTACTGTCAACATACTCATAATGTAAATGCGAAAATATATTTATAAATAGAAATATTGATGGAGCCATAGATAGGTAAATACTAGTAGTCACCCCTTGGATCTAGTAAATTGAGGTCTATTCGATACAATTTCCCTTCTAAGGCCCACGCGACAAAGCCCGACGGAGAGTAATGCTGACGCCAGCGCGTCGGCTCTCAATTAGTAACGTCACAAAACGTCCGTTTTTTTCTTGCTATAGGCCGAGAACACTCACAGAGCGGTCGATTCGGCTAAGCTCCGTCCGTATAGCGCGGTTCTCGTAGTCACTGTTACACTCAATCCAATGGAAGAAGGAAAAATACTGACGCTGACGAATACGTTTGCTCATCGCTGCAAGCTCCTACTGCTTTTCAGTTTGTTCTCTTGCTAAAGACTCTCCCAATCACAGCGAAGAGTTATTCATCACAGGCATTGTTTGAGAAAGAAGAACAGGATGGCACGGGTAGGCCCCGTAAAGAAAATTTCGTAGAACTCGAACTCGCAGATCGCTATCCTAGTGTTGAATAAAAACAAATGAATCAAATAAAACAACTGGAGTTGTGTCAATCAGCATCAGTCGCCTTTCGAAACAAAAACCTATGACTACAAAAAAAGTGAAACTGTGTTAAACAATGTGACATCCCTGCTTTCAATTTGGAATATTAGAAATCTTCAAGTTGGAGAAAGGGTAAAAGAAGACGACTTCCATCACCACAATAGGTCCCCTCCATCGTAATATTCAGTGTTTGTAAAGCCATCGTTCTTTACTTCACTACGGCTGGAATCCCCGTTCGTTGAGCGTCAGACGTGACGTAAGATATTTTGCCCGAGGACATCTCGTAGCTATCATAACAGTTATTCTACAAACTTCAAATCTTCGGGAAATAAAAAATAAAGGTAGAATATTGCTTTTGAAAACCGTCAAGAAGAATAAGGCAAATTTTCACACATCAACTCAATAAAAAGACAAACTTGAATGGACTAGTCAAAAAAATGTAGAAGTGTATGAAAGAGAACCGTCAAAAAACACCGAAAAAAAAACTGAAAAAAAACAAATTTAAAAAATAGTGACAATATATAACAAGCGAGAGATGAGGACAGCTGGCAGGTCTTGTAAAAAATGCGCTACTCAACATAGTCAGCGGACATTGAGCAGTATAGCAAATGTTTAATATTCATGTTAATGCTCCCTGAATTATTTAAAATGAACCAAAGTAACAATGGCGTAGATAAACGCTGCGTTTTCAATAACCACAGAGTTCTTTAAAAAAGCATCTACTTTCAGATTCTGACAAGAAGCTTCCCAACAACAACGTTATTCTTCTCCCTTCAAATTCCGCGATGATTTTGTAATCGCCGCCACCCCTTGCCTGATGCCACCCGTTTCCAGATACGTGGTAAGAACTTTCGACTTATATCGGCGCTCGCCAGGCGGACGTGCTTCTTCGACGAAAATTGCAAATTGCGTTGCAGATCATCTCTTAAGCGGAACAGACACACCCGGAAAACTTATCACGACCAGAGAACAAGCCGTGCAGGTGATCACAGATATACACATACCCCAGACACACACTTCCCATTGATTAGCTGGTGCAATGGACGAGCAAAGGAGACGGCCAATAACTTTATGCGCCTGATAACGGGCAAAATTCGTACACAACGATGACCTTTCCACGAGACGAGCGAGACGATCAAAAAATGGAAAACAAATGAATACAAAATGAATTTTGGAAAAGAAAAATAGCCACCAACTAACCGTTTACACAGACACCTGCTGCCCGTATACGATAACCGTCTTCGTCCCGTAACCGCTCCCTGGGCCCCTCGCGCGCCTTCCAAGGCGCCAGCATAAGACTCCTCACGCTCACGATCGACAGTCTCTTGTTCTGAAAGTACAATGAAGACTTTTTCGGTGGCATTCCACTATGGAAGATTTATTGCCGTTGAAAAATAACTAAGGACGACACATCTCAAACAAAGAAACGACGAAACCTTTCGTAGCCAAGGCGTAAAAGAGAAACTACCAGAACTACTAGACCGATAGCTATGCCCTAAAATATTTATTTATTTATTTATTTAATATATGACCCGACAAAACAGAAATATATCTTTTGAGTGTTCCCAGTAGGCACAAGAGCTATGCAGGGAATTCTCACAGAGATCTTCATTTTTACGGAAATTATATTAACTGAATGAGCTTGAGAATACGAATTGCTCACTCCTCATCCTCTCCGGCGGATGCCTCTTTGCAGCATTTGCTCCCTGCCACGGTCGTTTGGGACAAAAAAAAATTATCGGTCCCACTTTTCTCTCCCATGGGGGATAAGCATTCACGATTGAAAATCCAATAAACGAATGGGATTTCGATCGAATCAAACAAGTCGCGGTGAGAATATCCTTATCCCACGCTAACGCCTTTTCATATCACTTTCAATAGAACTTCCCTGGGGACATTTTTCTTGTTTCCTGTCGCAAATTGCGGTTCAAAGCTGATTTATGATTCGATAGGAAGATTCTGGTTGCTGTTCTCTCCCGCTTCCTTCATTCCCAGCCTCCCACACGCCGTTCGCATCCTATGGGATATGAGTTTCTAGCTTCATTGATCACTGCTATTGCCAAAGGCACAACCAAACACGAATGGCTCACTCACATTAACAGAATTTATCGATCGAAATAAAGGAAAAACTATGAAAACAGGGAATAGGGAAGATGAATGGACGGACGGAGGAATGGGCGCCATGAAGGCGGGGAACGCTAAATAACGATGACAGTTCCGCGCTGTTAAAGAGGGAGTAAATTGGAAAAAAAAAGCATCTCACCATCAAAATATTTTACATATTCCCCGTACCACCTGTAATAGCAGCAATAAAAAGACTAAGACTTTGATCTATTTACGCTTTTGCTTGTACGCCAAAAAAGTAAATAAAAACAACGACCACGGTCAAAAAGTTATTGAAAGTAAGGTTGTTCGAAAAGGTTCAAAAACTAAATGTAAAGTACCAGAAGCATGTCAAGCGAAGGGTCCTAATAGGAAATCGTGGACGCCAAAAGTACGGTCGAGGGTCGGAACATAAACAAGTGCCCCGAGTCTTAGGGATTAGGATCTGGGAGAACTCTGACGCCACGCTTTTGCCCTTTACCGATTAGTCAGTCGGCTCATTCATAATGAATGAACAAATGACGAAAGCAGGCTTTAGAACAAACTCAGAAGAATAGATGAATAGGGCTATACGACAGAAATGAACTGAAACGGGGTCTCCCACAGCCTAGTGAATACGATGATTCGGGGCAAAGTATCCAAGAGTTCAGGCAACAGAAAAAGCGTGTAGGAACCGATGGGTCAATGGCTAGCGGCAGCAACAAAAAGGAGCATATGAGCCGTCAGCGTTCTGCCCATTTCTCTCCCCGGGCCATATGTCCAAACGCAATCCCTCGCCAAGGCTTTTTTCGAAATCGCTTTCGCTGCTGTTGGCTTCATAATGGCTTTTCGAAGGAATGAATCGTATAGTTATATTACACATATATAGTTAAGAGCAGATTATCTTACTGTTTATAATAATTCTTCAAAAACGCGGAAAAGTTCAGATTTTATGTCAACAATGAACAATGTATACGCATTCACACAAAATCAAAAAAGAAAAACAATAACAAATCAAAAGTGTTCAAAGAAACTAGGAAAAGTACACGACAGCTCAAAAGTATACAACGAAGCAGAGTGGCAAGAGCGCCGCAGGCGGCACTTTGGCTTCTTGCCAATTCCCCGCTCTCCCCACGATAAATTCATGGGGCGCGGCCTGCGCTGAACGCTGAACTGCCGTCCAGCCGATTAGCACCGCCTCCGGCCACGCCCACACCGCCAGTTGCAGCATAACACTCGAAATTGTGTGAGGTAGAGAAATTTCTATCATCTATCAGAACATATATAGAAATCTCACACATATCTATTATTACAATCGTAAATCGGGAAAAAGTAACAGTTCAACAAAATGTATTCAAGTGGACGAGTTAGCACGTTGTTCTACAAGAGATGGGTCCCATAACGAAACCCGCTAACTTTCTTTAACAGTACGATTGTGAGGATAAATCAACAATGTTACACAAGTGGCTAAAATAGTATACGAATGAGAAGAGTTTTTCATGGAAATAGTTCACTGAAAAACGGTTCACCGTTCCCCAAATTACCCAGCACTGAGGTAATTGCAGTAACCACTTCCTGATCGGGACATATGCCGTCATCAGGGCTTTTCTGCTTCTTTCTTCATGGGATTTTGTTCACTACATCTCTGATAGTTCCAAATAATCGATTAGTTATTATTGATCGATTGGGACTTTAAAATTAAACATTTCTGCATGGAACTCTGGAACAACAAGTAGGGAAATTAACAAAATTGTAGGCATTTTTAGTGTTTTGATACGACGGTCCTAAGAAGAAGATGGTGATTACGGTATATGGAGAGAACCCCTATCTAGAAATAGTAACTCAAAGCGACAACAACTTCTATATAATCAGCGTGATTACGGAGTTGAGAAGAAATGAAGCAAAACATTTCACAGGAAAAAAACATCGAATAGTATCAAAAAACAAACAACATGACCACGTCAACATTCATATCGTGTAAACAAGATATTCGAGAAAGAGCGATAATCAAAGCCGTCTAATAGCGTAAACATCTAGGAGAAATCTCGCAACAACCGGGATATTTTTAGCGATTCATACAGCCCTGCTGAAGCTCCTTCCTATTTGACAATGGGACATGACAAATTGCTTCGTATTGAGGTGAATGCGATTGCCCAGCTCCTCTCTTCAACCCCTTTCATGGAAACGAGGCGAGCTAACAAAAAAGCTTGGTTGGAATTCATCCCTACCGACTTTTATTGACGTTGGGACGTTCGTCGACGTCACATGAATCTAATCAGCAACACTTATGAGCAATGAAGCACGCGCTGACCAAAAACGTCCCCAATTCCAGTCCAATGCTGATAAGAAAACATGAAAACATAGGAAAAAGATATTGATTACTTTGAAGACTGTCAAGTAATCTCTTTGAACCCCACAACTTCTTTGAAGACGATTGGAGCTGGGCTCAGGTTGACAGATCCCTTCAAGAAGGGCTATTCACCCAAAGTTTGCTGGGAAATCGAAAACCTCCAGAATGCATAATAGACCTACTCAAAAGCTTGAGAAGGTAAGCCAATTACCTTTCCAAATCTCTCAGAGGGAAAGGAGAAAGTCTCAATTAGGCTTAGGCTGGCAGTGAATGGAGGAAGATGCACCTCGAAACATTCTTAGGGGAACCATAGCCAACTGCAGACGCCCAAATAATCTTAGGAGAAATATTTTGTAAGGGCTTTTAGGAAGGGGTTTTCTAGGGTTCTAAAAAGTAAAAGAAGTTGGGGGATTCAGAAATTCCCAAAGTTACTTCTGTTGACAAGAGCTCTGCAGATATTACTTTCAACCTAACGATAAATCGTATAAAAAGGGGTTCCGCTTGACGACAAAATCCATCCCATTGTTTTCACGATAAACTATCTCCCTGAAAGGTATAATTGAAGCTGAGCTGGAGGAGTGAGTGGGAGGCGGCTACCCACCAAGGGCAAGTAAAAGCGCTGGGGAGATATGGTGAGCTCTAGCGCTCGGAAAACCTCCGATTATCTGGGAACTTTTCCTCCATACAAGTCCACTCCACCAACCCTCACCCCAAACTATGCCTTCAAAAAATTGTTTTTAAAGTCAATCCATTCCAGACAGCTGTCTCCAGAGCATCCTTGCTGTATGAATGCCAGAAATTACAAAACAAATCAGGCAATGAAATCCAGTCTAAAGCCAGGAGAAAAAAAATCAAGAGGAAAGGACAAATCTGTCAAAAGCATTGATAGCAAAAGTACATGTGAATCGACTATCCTCTTTAATAAGCTTTGCAGTGCTTCTTATCTCAAAAGCTATAAGCGGAAAGGATTGAAGGACCGGTACTGGGAACTGAGGCACCCCAGAGGGTCCACTAAGCCTTGGTCTCTGATCTATGATGCATTATTTCCCCAATGGCCTACTACTCATAAACAATGCCGATGAAATGGACTATGTTCCCTCAAAGAGTTTCAATCGAGTAAATAGTAAAGGACCACAACGAAGCTGGGTTGAAAGAGCGGTGGGGAAGCTTTCCAGTCACTGCTAACCCTACAGCAGTTCAAAACTGACTGCCCACAAAAATGTACCGGAGCAAAACCGTGACGGAATAAAACTTCGAATATCTTACAACGAACTGCTACAAATGCTATCCTTCGATGCTACACATAACTATCAAATACCAATAAAATACCACAATATCATCCCGATCACTATCGGTACGGACAGTACAATCACAGCTATGGGAGATTTCTCACTTGGTGCCATCGCCCTGATAGTGGCAGCATCGTCAGTCGGCTTGAACGTACCTATCGGCTTGCAGTTTTCGAGTTTCTTCGCTGTCCAGTCGGTCAGCACAAGTTCAGGGGCCTTCGTTTTCTTTTCGCACAGCTCACTTCGCATATGGAATTTTGCTACTTCCACGATTCGGACACGTACCCAACTGCCCATTATACCATCATAATAGGGCACCAGGAAGTGTTCATAGCATTTATTATGGCCCACAGCATGCTTTCCATCTGAAATGTATATGATTAAACAGGGAAAAAAAGTAGAAAAAAAAGAGAATTAAGGAGAAATGACACAATGGCTTGTGAAGGAACTATAAACTCCCGTCGGCCAAGTGGACTCTACAACCGCATTGCGACCGCGCGCTTCATTGTCATTTTAGTGGCAGTCCGTTTTCCAAAAATGATGGAAATCGGAATACCTGCCCTTGGCATTCTA